GTGGGACCTGGGAGGCAGCGTTGCCCTCCGAATGGCCGCGGCGGCGGCGGACCGGGCTCCCGCGCCGCGGCCCTAGGTGGCCTCTCGCCATGGCCAAGTGGCTGAACAAGTACTTCAGCTTGGGCAACAGCAAGACCAAGAGCCCTCCGCAGCCGCCGAGACCCGATTACCGCGAGCAGCGGCGCCGGAGCGAGCGGCCCTCACAGCCTCCCCAGGCCGTGCCGCAGGCCGCCTCGGGGTCCTCGGCATCCTGCGGGCCGGCCTCGGCCTCCTGCTTCTCGGCCTCCTCGGGCTCTCTGCCCGACGACAGCGGCAGCACGAGTGACCTCATCCGCGCCTACCGCGCGCAGAAGGAGCGCGACTTCGAGGACCCCTACAACGGGCCGGGCTCGTCGCTGCGCAAACTGCGCGCCATGTGCCGCCTGGACTACTGCGGCGGCGGCGGGGAGCCCGGCGGGGGCCAGCGCGCTTTCTCGGCCTCGTCCACGTCGGGCGCCGCGGGCTGTTGCTGCGCCTCCTCGGGCGCTGGCGTAGCGGCCTCCTCGTCCTCATCCTCGGGGTCCCCGCACCTTTACCGCAGCAGCAGCGAGCGGCGACCCGCCACGCCGGCGGAGGTGCGCTACATCTCGCCCAAGCACCGACTCATCAAAGTGGAAAGCGCCGCCGCGGGCGCAGCTGGGGACCCCACGGGGGGCGCCTGCTCCGGCGGCCGCACCTGGAGCCCAACAGCCTGTGGAGGCAAAAAACTGCTCAACAAGTGCGCCGCCTCGGCCGCGGAGGACAGCGGGGCCGGCAAGAAGGAAAAGGTAAGGTGCTCCTCGATGAATCATGCTCGATCGAGGTTCCAGAGGCACTGGGCGAACCGGGGAACCGAGGTCCCCAACCTTGTGTCAACTTCGGCCTAGGACCCAAGGTTAGGACTCCCGCCTGGTGTCCAGATCCTGCTCGGCCTCCTTGATGGTTTGACACAGTCTCTTCTGCTGCTGCCGCCGCTGCTGCTTCTCCAAACGCCCCCTTGTTGAGCCCACAGCCCCGAGCGAGAGCACCCCGCCTAGCCTTGCCCTAGGAAGAGACATCCAGCCAGCCCTTCCGGCTCCCCCAGTGAAGTCTTTCGAGAGCTTGGGCTGTCGTAGGCTTAAAAGAGCATTTACTCTTGCCCTCCCTCCGCCCCCATGGGAACTGAGGTCCAACTCTGGGAAGGGACTCTCCCGGGAGTTAACTCACCAGTCCCGACTGGCTGCCTCGGAGCGGGTACGGGTATATGTAAATCCTAAACGCCCCACCCTCCGAGAGCCTGGTTTCCGAAGCGAGGCGGCCTTTTGTAAAGGAGTGGCACCAGAAACCCCCTCGCGGGCTGTTGGGGTCGTTGTGCGCCTTCTACCAGAGCGCTGCATGCTCATCTGTCAATTGTTCCCGCCCTGCGTCCTAGGGGTGTTTGGCTATCTGGCCGGCTGCAAGAACCGGTGCTCCTGCTACGCTTTCTTCTTGAGCGCCTCTCCACTATACTGCCCCAGCCCCGGTGGCTCTGTGACACTCTCCTTTCTAACGTCTTAGGCCATCTTGGTTCCCCCCTTCCTTCCCCCTTTGAAGTAGACGAGTTAATTACGATCAGACTCAGCCCCTTCCTCCCTTTCACACTCTCAAGCTGCCCTCCCTTCCCCCATAAAATAATACTAGTTCTTTCTACTTCTGGTGGAAGGCAGTGTTTTGATTAAATCTGAGGCCCAGTGGGAGAGCTCACTCCTTAGAAGCAGGGTTGTATGGCTGTCAGGCTCCTGCTGTCTTGTTCTGTCTCACATTCTTCTTCCAAGGTAAACTTTTGTCCAGACTGATAAAGAGTTTGAGTTTCTCTTAGGGCTGGAGGTCCTGACAGGAGGGAGACAGGCTCCTACCTGCCAGCTGTTGCTTGGAAAGGGATCTATCTGCTTTGTTTTCCTGGAGGTAGGGATAAGGAAATGGTCTTTAATTTTTCTGATTGGTCCCCTTTCCCTGATATCCTGAAGTATCCCCCTTCCTGCTTGGTCTGCCCCGAGGATGTTGTGAGCAGTCTGAAGGATCTTACCTCTCTGGAGAGGTCTGGTGACACACTTCCGATGTTTGGACTCTGGGCTTACCAAGCAGGATGCCACACCTAGATGACAGTGAGCTGAAAGCCAGGTGACCACCCTAGCACCAGGAAGGTCAGCAGGGAGATACTCCCAGTGGATACCACTGTGCTTTGTATGGCTTGTGGTTGGTAGGTGAAAGCAGCACTGATAAAGGTCCCTTGCAGCCTTCTGTGTGGCCTAAGCTTGGCTTGGTACATACAGTGGGGGAGTCTTGGGTTTCTGAGCCTGAAAGGCATGAGAAAAGTTCTCAGGAAAGCTTCCAGGTCAATACCACCACAGTCCCTGCATCCCTCTGCATGTCCCTCACTACTCATGACCACCTGCCAGGGTTGCATCTCCTTTCTTTCTTGGCAGTGTTGGTTCTGCCTGCTCAGGGAAGTCTCCTGTAGCTTTCCAAACTTTAGATAACATTTTCCCCCCAATTATAGTTAAGACAGTTTCACATACTCAGGAATAATGTGTTTGTAGCTGGAATGTCAAGTGTCTTTATGACTTGGCTTTATTCACCACCACCACCCCCCTCCCCCCATGGGGTCTGAACACTGGGCCTGGGTGCTGTGGCTAGCGCTCTACCACTTGAGCCACAGCACCACTTCAGCTTTTTCTGCTTATGTGGTGCTGAGGAATGGAACCCAGGGCCTTATGCATGCAAGGCAAACACTCTACCACTGAACCACCTTCCCAGCTTTGACTTCATTTTGACACCAGATATTTCTGTGGGTCTTCTCCATGCCTTCCCCTGCCAGGTGTTGGAGTGGGAACCCTTGTGGGGTTGATGTCTGTAGTGAGACCATCCTGCCAAAAGTGCTGTAATGGGGCCTAGTTTTAAAGAGGGGTCAGGGAGCATACCTCTGAGGAAGGGTCTGTGGAGTGGGAGGGGTGGTGATCAGAGGTGGCTAGAGAAGAGCTTAGTGGTTTAAGGAGCCACATGTGAGAGGTCCTCTGTGGCTAGAATTGAGAGGTTAGAATTGGGTAGGACCCTTACATGGGTCAGCACAGCAAGCTAAGCGCAGTGGGAGTTGGTGAACGATTTAGCTGTGTGATCTGATACTTGGTCTGATCTCTCTGGGCTTCTTTTCCCCTGCTCTTAGGTTGTAACTCAGAACTCTTTGATCTTTTAGGAGTTGTCAGTCCTGGGAGACAGGGATTGTAGTTACCAGATGTTCTGTTAGAAAGGAGGCAGCAGGGAGGGGCTACAAGACTAGTTCACAGTGGTGGTTCTTATTCTTCAGCATACTGGAGGGCTGGTAAAACAGATGCAAGGACCCATCCTTGCAATGTGTGCCAGTCAATAAGCCAGGTGGGGGGCCTGAAACTTTGCCTCTGACAAATTCCCTGATGACCTTTGCTTCTGAGACACTACCTGGAGAAACACTGATGTACTCAGGACTTCTCTCCCCTCAACATTGCCTCTGGGTCTTCTAGAGGGGTTACTTTGGGACTCAGACAGAGATTATAGGTCCCATGTCTCTGCTTTCTGTGTGAAGCTATATCCAGTGCTTCCCCACCCTTCCAGCCTCTTCAGGCAGTCAGAAGGCAGTCTGGTTTTTAACATTATTTCTAGCCAGGCTTTCCTAGGGATCAAGGTGACCCAGCCCTGAATTCCTACTCCCTAACCATTTTTCTACCCCACTCCCACCCAAATGACTTCAGGACAATTCACTACTGACACCCACTTAGTGTTAGGCTGGCCCAGGTTCCTTTCAGTCTTTAGGGAATTGGGTGAGACTCAGGTCCGGTAAGTGTCCCCAGGATGTCAAGCCCTATGTTGTGTTTTAACCGTGGCCTGCACTGAGAGTTATCATTCTCCTTTCAGTGACAGCCCCCACCACAGTTTACCTTTAGGGTTTCCCTCCTGTCTCCCTCTGTGCCTCTGCTTCCCTCTATCACACACTTAATGCATCACTTCTTCTCCTAGATGAGTTCTGGGGCACAAAACCTTGGCCGCATCATTACTGCCCCCACTGCCAGCATCCAATTTCAGGCGTTTCCTTTTTAGAATTACATGTAAGAGAAACTGTTGACAGAGCTAGTTTCTTCCCTAACATAGTCATAGCCAATTTTTAGCCAGCATTTGTTTTATGCTCAGAGCTATCTTGGTACCAGTGTGAGCCTCTGTAGGATGTGGGTACATATTTTTGCCATTTGTTTCTCCCTGTTTTTGTCTTGGGAGTTTTTAAGAGGTCTTCTTCTGGGAGGTAGGTGACTTAATCTATGGAGAGGAGTAGAATTTCAGTGAGTTCAGGGGGTGATTGCAGGTGATGTGTGTGTACATGTGCATGCACATATGTAAATCTTAAAACAGGATGTGTTTTTGGAAACCAGAGCTTTTATCTAGTGATCCTCAATTGGGGATTGAAAGGGGAATGAGACTTGCGGGAGCCTGAGTTTGCCCTCCGAGTGTTTCGTTGTACAGGATTGTCCTTGCATACTGGTGGGCCAGGAAAGGGAGGATGTGTGTGCTTAAAGCCATGGGCTGAGGAGTGTCCTGGCCTATTATTATAGACCTATTACAGCCACTGGAGTTGAGACAATTATAATATAGCTCAGATGAGAGATGCTCAGGACTTGAGCTTTTGGGAAAGAAAATAAAATTATAATAGGTAGAAATAGTATTCTTTCAAGTTGTGCTTTGGAAAAAAAAAAAAAGATGAGAAAGCCAGGTGCTGGTGGCTTACTCCTAGAATCCTACTACTCAGGAGGCTGAGATCTGAGATTGCGATTCAAAGCCAGTCCAGACAGGAAAGTCCGTGAGACTTTTATCTCCAATAAACCACTAGAAAATTAGAAGTGGCACCATGGCTCAAGTGGTTGAGCTGAAGAGCTGAGGGACAGCACCCAGGCCCAGAGTTCAAGCCCCACAACCGACAAAAAAAAGAAAGAAAGAAAAAGTCCAGTTACTTGGTGAGTCTGCTTTGGTGCAAGCAGACACATTTCTTTTTTTGGGGGAAGAGGGGGGTCTGGTGGTGGGGCCTGAACTCTGGGGCCTGGGCACTGTCCCTCAGCTCTTCAGCTCCAGGCTAGCGCTCTACCACTTGAGCCACAATGCCACTTCTGGCTTTTTTCTTTTTGCTTATGTGGTACTGAGGAATTGAGCCCAGGGCCTCATGCATACAAGGCAAGCGCTTTACCACTGAGCCACCTTCCCAGCCCATGCAGACACATCTTATCCAGTCATGTTTTCTGCTGAAGTCTTGTTTCTTTTGTTATAAGTAAATAAATGTTTTCACCAAGTCAAGGATGAATCATGATATCAATTTTCCTGAGCTTAAATACATGCTAATGTGTACCAACTCTTGATATTTTGTCAGCATCCACAGAGTTGAGTTAAATAACCCTTTTTCCATAGTTATGAAAGAAATAATATCATGTCTGACAAAAAAAATAGCCCGTACCAAACAGTATTTGAATTGCCTAGAGGGAATTCAGAGAGAGGTAAGTGTGGCCAACTTTCCAAGGCTTTTTTTCAGATTGCAGTTGGATACGATGGGCTGTCTAGCCTCAGGTTCTACATCTGCAAGTCAAAAATATTTTTAAAAAAATTAATGAACTGGCTGGGCACCAGTGGCTCATGCCTGTAATCACAGCTACTCAGGAGACTGAGATCTGAGGACCACAGTTTGAAGCCAACTCAGGCAGGAAAGTCTGTGAGATTCTTATCTCCAGTAAACTACTCAGAAAAGCCAGAGGTGATGCTG